TTGCACTCATTTATATCATACTACATTGGGGACAATGTAGATCTTAAGCTTGGGGGTGTGGGTTGTTTATTCATTGGTTGTCTGTATTGGCCAGTGAATGCACCTTTATTTGGCCCATCTGTGTTGGCCCTTCTGAAATTTATTATGGCCCATGTATTTGGCCAGTAACCTATGACAATATTAGGTGTATTCGATTCTCAAAAATTATCTGTTATGTGATGTGTTTTACGCATTCCCATGCTACTGGGCTATAATTCGTAGCCTTAGTGTGACCTATGAGATGACTTTTACATTCATGAATAACTCATCGAGAATTAAGATTCTGACAATTGACTGTGAAATTAAGAAAATAATAATCCTCTGGTTTTGTACAAATTAGTAGTTCTTTTCTTTTTTAGTGTTTACCTTGATTCAAAAAGGGTTTGATTCTAGGAAATGTCACAATATATTCAGTTGCACATAAGAAAGAAATTATAATTGTTGCATTCTTTCTTAAAGACGACAATATTATGATATTTAGATCGTATTTGGCTATTTTTAAATTTCTGATGCAAAACTTATAATTCGTTATTTCTGGGAATTATCCTTATTATTATTTTGTTAGTTATCTAGGAACTCTAGTGGGAAATATTCTCACTGAGCTCTAGTTCACCCCGTCGTTTTTAAATTTTTTTCAGATCCGGTAAAGCTTCAAACTATCCAAACTTTTGGTTGTAGCTCTTTGCTGAGAGGCGTTATATGAAAAGCCTCCTTTTTGAATGTTACATACAGTCAAGAATGTGCTATATTTTGTAAAATTCTTATAACGGTGAGCTTGTGGGTTGTAAGTACTGATTATATACATATATATACTTGCTCTGAACTTCTATCATCAGCAGATTTATGAATATTTTGAGATGAACTATGTGATATGAAGTGGCAGGCTTGACTCGTGAATAAAACTTGTCTCGTGCACGGGTCGCTGCTGTCGCGTAACCCGCATTTATGAATTTTCCGCTGCAGTTTCAGGGCGTGACTCATATCCAACCAAGTTGATGGTCTGTTGACTTGAAGGTTTTTTTTCCTTTTTTTTTCCTCCTTCCAAAGTTGATGAATTGCGAGGGATGCTTGCAAATACTAAGATTTGGGGGTGGCTTTTCAAATATGTGGTATATATAGAAAAAAATCTGATAGAAATTAGTGTGTGGCTTTACCTGGACAATATCTTGGCCAACGAGGAGTTGAACCTTCTGAGGGACCATTTTACTACTCTTGTCATTGTCTCCAAATCCAAGCCTCCCATGCTCCCCTCTTCCCCATCCATACACCTAGAAGCAAGACAGGAGGATGTAATGATTGTGACTTGTAGAGAAACACTAATCCACTAGTAATAAATGATGTGATACTGGTACTAGGAAGCTAGAATTTGAGTGTACGTACGAAACAAGGAAAGCTGGTGAGCTGTTGATTTTATTTTACAATTGAATTTTATGGAGATACATTCAAGTTATAAGAGATATATTTAGAAAAGAAAGGTACACAGACTGAGATAACTGGAGAAATATATTAACACTAGGGGGCTGTTTGATTTGCTGCTAGAAGGAAGTGTAGAAAATGCTGCAGCATCAATTGCTTCATGTAGCATTTGCTACAGAAAATCCACTTCAAATCTATTGTTTGCATACCTACAATTTGATTGAAAAAAATAGATTTCCCTTGCATCTTCAGTTTTTGGATTGAAAAACAATTTATGTAAAAGCTACAAGAGTTGGAATGGGAAAGTTTCTTTATGAGCCAGCCTTTCTTATCATGTCAATTTACTTTTTGAGAATCTGCGCAGCCTCTTAAAACCAAATTGGTTTCAGCATTTTTTTTCTACAAATTGTAACTTCCCGTAGCTTTTGTAATAACATGCTGCTAACTAAACATTGGAAATATAAATATGTTCGCACCTCTATCTCCTCTCAACCAAACAGTCCCCAAGGTATCATCATAGAGAGGCAAGAGGAGCAAAATCATTAGGGATAAGTAAAGAAATAGAGATAATTCTAAGTACACACTCCAAACTACTCCTACACTACTACACACAAAAGAGTAGGGTTTTTCTACTCATATTACCATCAACATTGATGAGTCATCAAGGACCCTACAGATCTTGCATGTAGTAGTTTGAGAGTATTTGGGAAAGTGTAGTCTAGTTATCACTCAGCAAGAAATACATGATTACAACAAGGTATCATGCAAAGGAGGAAAACAGTCAATGGGGAAGGAACTTGGGACCTGTATTCTGATCCAAAATGACCATGGTAAAGGTCCCTAGTTTGATTGTAATTGAGTTCTGGTAAGGGCCTTATACTTGGTTGAGTTGCAGAAGGATCATTCATCTTTCATTTAGCCTATCATAAGTTTATCCTCATTCATAAAAAGGATATTCCTTCTTTTCTTCTCTTCTTTTTTTGCTTTCTGAACTCAACAATATATATAACAAGGCAAGCTGATGAATGAAAAGTTAGACGTGAATTATTGAACCACAAAAACAGTGAATACGATGTTAATATTAATCAAAAGGCATTGGGAAACCAACTATTTTGAGTGAACCATGTTGATATATAGTCACTAGTTTTTGGATAGAACAATTTTTCACTTTAGCCCTTTTAAAATTTTTTATTATTAAAATCGACCCTTTTTTCTTTTATTTACCAAAACCGACCCGATTTCTTGATTAGCGGCTTAATCACATTCCTAATTAGTCGGGGTTGCCAACCCCGACTATTTAGGAAGGTCTTAAACCCTAATTAGAAGCCTTAAACCCTAAAAATTAATATCCTAAATAGTCGGGGTTGGCAACCCCGACTACTTAGGAATGTGATTAAGCCGCTAATCAAGAAATCGGGTCGGTTTTGGTAAATAAAAGAAAAAAAGGTCGATTTTAATAATAAAAAATTTAAATAGGGCTAAAGTGAAAATTTGTTCTTTTGGATATTCTGTGCCTGTCAAAACTAGATACTGATATTGGAAATGTCTCAAGTGTGTTTAACTGGAGAAAAAAATCACTGTCAATGACTATAGTGGCATGATGAGTTCTCCCCTCAAACTTAAAGTTTTATGGATGAATGAGCAGCTTGGAGTCATGCAGCATAGACATGACAGTCAAATTGGATCCGATACAGTAACCAATTTAACCAGAAAACATGAGAATGGAATTTATACTGATTCACTCAAAAGCTAAAGCTATGGAATGAGCACAGTTTCACTAACTTGCGTGGGTCATCTTTGTGCCACATGCACATGCATTACAGGAGTTGCTAGTGTTTTCTCTTTAAGTAATATGAACGTTTCAGCATACGTGCATGTGCTAAAACTAATGATATACAAGCATCCAGCATATGTGCATGAACTAAAACTAATTATATACAAGCATCATACTTGTGCATGTGTGCACACAAGTACGTACATCGTTGACCCTGATGATGTTTTGCATTTAGTCTATTCACAACTTATCACAAATCTATATTCACTTAACTGGACCCAAGTGTGCTTGAAATGAGTAGGCACAGGAAACTTTTTTATGCAACCCACTTTATGTTTGTAAATATATACTTAAATTAAGAGAAAATTGTGTGCGTTCTCTTCCTCAAATTTATTTCGCAACACCTCTTGTATATTCCCTTGATGCTTTGCCCCTTTCACCTTTATTAACTTGAATTTTAGTATTACTAGTCTAGAATGTCCCCTAATTCTTGTTGAACCTTTTATTGAAGCGGGGAAAAAATGGAGGACAGGTCAAAATGATCAGGTGCAGGGGCTTTCTTGAAGTCTTAAATTCTAAATTAAATTCCAAGCACTTGTTGAAATAGCCACCTAGGATAACATCCATGCACTCTGCTACAGATACCAATTCTTCTGAGAATCTCCTCTTGTTTTCTTTATATGAAATATACATAGATCTAGATCCTTATATGGACATGCTTATTAGTTTCTAAACTCTAGTACTCCCAGTTCCATCATTACTAGTTTTCTTTACGAGGTGCGTTGAATAATTTTGTAGTGAACTTCTAGGGAGAAGGATTTAGGTAATTCTGCTAGCCGGCTAGGAAGTTTTTGAAGAATTTAACGATCTCTAATATTAGACGAAGGGTGCATCGAACCCATCACATGTGACCCGGTTCCAATATGGCTCCCCCCGTCTTGGGTTAAGCTCTGGGCTGGATTATAATAACATAAAAAGGGAGTGCATAGGATAAAGGAGTGATCCAATGTTGTGAAAAGCAGAATTTTCTAGTACAATTGATAACAAGCACATACCACAAACCACATGGACCACATACAGAATGGTTTCATTTCACAGTAAACACTGCTATAAGTTTTAGAAACTTAAGAAAGTATAAAAACTAACAAAAGGTAGACATCCTAATATGTCCATCATGAATATGTACTGACCTGCTTTGGTAGATAACGTCATAGATTAGAACTATTAGACTTATGGATCAACAAGGATAATCGGAGCTGTTGTTCATTGCAATAAACTACAGTAGTTGACCTAATTTTGTAACATAAGCTGCATTCTTAAACAACTAAACTGTCTCAGGTGAAACATTACATACCTCTCCCTCATCAGTCAGTGCAGTGGAATGCCAACCTCCTGCAGCAATGTCAACCTATACATCAAAATAGTTAAGGATTTGGACTTAAAAGTCACTGAAAATAGCAGGAAACACCTAGGTCTAGGAAATGTAATTACAGAAAGCAAGCAGGAAACATCATGGCTCATGGGAATGATAGAAATGGAATAGCAGGTTGTGATGATAGTCATATTCATTTGAAAAAACAAAATCATCCAGCAACACAGATGCCTATAACAGCAAGATAGCTGCATCAACATGCTACCGTGTTATTGTTTAATTTTGTACTGAAAAATAAATCACTTTCTAAGACTTTTGTGTAAGATTAACTGTAAAAAATTCACTAAGTTTGACCTTGTATCCTATTATAAAGTAGCAAAAGGTTCACGAAATTACTTATGGTTAAGGATTAGATGGTCCTTTTCACGAAACATTACTGATGGTTAAGTATTGGACGGTCCTTTACACTAGTTTTGTGTTAGATTCAGGCTTTTGTAATGAATATAACATACACTTGAAAAAATAACTAAGTCCTACCACTCATCACCAGGAACCGGTAGATTCAGTTCCTTTCACTTTCTATTGTTAATTCATAACTTCAGAAATATCCACTCACGGTTATCTCTGCAGCAGAAACAAATTATTATCCTGATTGCAAAAATAAAGAACTGGATAGGGTAAGGCTTTTCTCATTGTCAGCAAATCGATGAAGGACAGGCTCAAGACCCTGTCTCCCAAGTGTAAAAGTAATGAAGTAGAAACAGCGAAGCTTTGTTAGTATTTACCAGATCGAGAGGCTAGATGTCCCCCGCTCCTTCCCTTCTGAGGTCAAGAGATGAATGCGGGCAATATTTTGGTTCTGCTACTGAGAAGGACCCTTAGTGACCCTGGATGCCAGTCACACTGATACTTGCACAAACCCCTAACCCTACATTCCTTCCATGATCAATTGCGCTCATGGTGATGACATGTGAATGGCCATGGCTGTTATCATTTTCAAACAAAAAAGAT